AGTCTTGGGTACTAACCACTGTCAGTGACAGCATACTGGAACAGATGTTCAGCTTTTTTGCCCAGCATGGTATTTCCTATACTGCCAGTTTCCTTTTTAGACCTTGTTATAAGTATTTTCAGACTTCAGAAATATGTGGTTTTACTTGGGTCTCCTCTAGGATTATTTTCTTTTTCTTCCCTTCCCTATTTGATCATTATTCTTCTTTCAGCATTGCAGAACTTCAGTGAATTTTGGAATTAGGTTCCCATCTTTTTCTATTTCTTCTCTGTCTTGATTTCTCTATTTTCCTTGATGATGATCTGTTTTTTTTTTTTTTTTTTTTTTTCACATATGCTTGTCAACCATTTTCTCCCCTTGGAATCTAAAAGGTTTCTGCGCTATGGAAATACACCTGTGTCTCACAACCTGCATTTCTGCACACTTCTCTGGTATTTTTGATTCCCTGCAGGGGTGGTTCTACACATTATTCCATGTTTCCTTGGAACAAAGGACAAAAGAGTGAACAAGGGGGAAAAGGGAGACACAGTGACCTGTTCCCTTTAAATACTTGATACTCACTGACAAACCAACAGTACTCCTGCAACATAATTGGAATAGCTTTAAAAAAAGAAAAAATGTTTTTAGAAGGCAGTCCATAGGGATTATATTTTGGAGAACACTGTAGTTTATGGGGGAAACTGAGTACTGCTTGTCCATCAGAATTCTTGCACGGATTTGTGGTAAAGATTGCTTCCTGGCAGTGGACTTTTCAAGGAATTTACCTTGGAAAAATTAAGAATTCTAGTAGTTTCAGGGGTAAAAATCTCTATATAGGTTAAAGGGTAAAAGATAATAGAGCTAGAGACAAAAAAAATTGTTCTTTTCCTGCCGTATGAGAATATTTGACAGAAATCATTCCCAGAGTATATTTTCAAGTGATCAAAATATAGTTAGATTCCTTATGTATTTTCACGCAGATGGCCAGAGGCATATTCTTGATGCAAGGCCATCCTTGTACTAAATTTAAAATCTCTGCTCTGAAAGTATAGCTGTGTTAAAACAGTTCAAAGTGTATGTTATCAAACACAATTAATATGAGCATATACACGTTTTTCTCCAGTCATTTTAAGAAATGGTCGAAGTATTTCAGCTGAAATTTTATTAAGATTGTAGTCAGAAATTTCCTGATGTAGAAATTTTTAGCTCAAGTCACTGAAGCTTGAGACTGCATAATTAAATCAGAAATAAATATAATACATATAAATAGTAAATACAAGAAGTGTAAATACAATGTGGTGGAAAGCTCGACAAATTTGCAAACATAATAAGCTCTTGCCCCAGCTGTAGACCCTTAACACCAGAATGTGAATTTGTTTCTTAAGTTTAAAGATACTTCTGTTTTACTGTCATGACCTTTTAGTAGCAGCCTATAGCTGGTCTATTGTTATGCATGTTCTGACAGAGTGTGCATACTGCAGTGAAGTATAGATGCTCTTCAGGTGTAGAATAAAGTATTTACTATTTCCATATTTAGATACAGGACAATTTTTCAATGACATGCCTTGTAATTGCTTAATCAGAAAGGTTATATAAAATAGTTTTAGCAGTAGGGGGGTTTCTGATTAACTGATAATGGAGCAAACCCATATCACAGACTATTTTGATAATTTTGCCTTGATTACCAAATATTAGTCTGAACTTTTCCAAGAAACATATCAAAGTTTCTAAGTCTGGTATTTATCCATGGTATAGAAACACTGCAAGAAACGGCAGTGTTAGCCTTCTTGTACTGTCTTGCCATTTTTGTCATCCCTGTTTAAGATCACTCCACTTACCAGAAAACTGACCAGTACTTCAGGGTATCCACCTCCAGCACAAAAGTTGTGTAGGCTCTTGAATTACAGTTTTGTTTTGTCATTCCTGCATCCATAGGCTGTATGTATTTTGACATACTCTAATCCAATAGCAGGATTAGGTAGGTCAGCCTTTGATCATGACTAATGTTTTATTTATATTGTGTTTTCAAACACAAAGTTGTTTAAGAGTTTAACTATGCACTTTGAAGCATATGCAAAAATCTTTTCCTGTAAAATAATCTATTTTCTTTCCTATTCCAACAAAAACAGTGTTGTAAAGAAAAGGGCTACTGTATAACTGTATAATACTTTTTTCTTTTTTTTTTTTTTAACTGAAACAGACTTCAGCTTTATTTTGGTCATCTCTTATTAAAATTGGAAAAAGTCTGAATTATCATCTCCTCTAGGAGGGAGAGAAAATAGACTTGACAGCAGCCCACAATTTAGTTTCTTACAGTTTCAATGTTACAAAATTGTCATTAAATATGTATTTGTTAACGTATCTAAAATATACTGTTGTGAAAGAAATTAGAATGGCCATCAGAATAGTTCATTAATCTTCTAAATGGACTCTTCTACTATTTGCTGCTTTCTTGATAAGCATACAAGCTTTAATTGTTTGAAATAGGAATGCAGGAATGCAAGTGGAAGATACAAATTCAGAGGTTTTTTTTTTATTATAGAAAAATTAGACTATTTACTGTAAGACTGGTATTGCTTATGGAGATTTTAATATAATTGATTTTTTTACTTTTGACTTTGTATGTATAGTAAAAGTTCTAATACAATTTCCTATTCAATAAAATTGTATTTTCAAAAATTTATTTTCAAAAAAAAAACATGCAACCTAATCTTTTTCATGGCTAGTAAAAGGAGTTAGTAAATACTTTTGGAAATGAAGAATAAATTGTATCTATATCTAACTTTATGCTGGTAAAGCTGTCAAATAGATTGTCTTTCTATCCTTAAAACAGAGGTATAGTCAACTAGAGAAAGGAGGACAGGCTCACAAGACTACATTTTTTTGCCTAATAGAATCACATAGGGTATATTTAAATGATAAGAATTCATCTACCATCAAAACCTCACCTGCTAAATGTACTTAATCTTCTGTCATATAATTCTAAAAGGTTTTGACTTACATATCTAAATTTTCTTGTAAACCTTGAGTTCACTGATAAATGCTGGGTTTTGTTTTGCTGAACTAAAAATACATGGATTTGACACAATATATTCCAAATGACTCTGAAATACATCTCTCTGTTTTATCTTCATGCAAGTCAAAGAGTTTATGAGAACCATTTAAAGCCAGCTTTTTCAATAAAGAAAAAGAAAAGATGCTTTTGGGGTAAAAATAACTGAATATTAAGTTCTCATAGGAGAAGAGGCTTGTTGATCTTTCAAAAGAAATGACAAAATATTTTTTTTATTATTTACATCAGGTTGTTTGGAGTTCTTTTTTTTTTTATTTTTTTTCATTATTCATCCTTCTTGTGTAGAAAGTACCAGGAAAATAATTGCGTCCAGATTTTCCAGAGGAGCACAAAAGGAATGCAGGACTTGTTCACATTTGTTTGGAAATTGAAGGACTGTTCATTTCTCCATATACATTGTCATTAATAGAGCAGTTAATCCCAAGTAAGAATGTCAGTGTGCTGCAGGTATAGAAGGAAGGAGTGTACATCAGACCACTTCCACTCACCAGAAGTGAATCTGGTCTGAGCCCTTCTGGTTGTTGAACCTCTTTTGACAATATGCCATTTATCCCAGAGCAGGTTTCCAAAAAAGAGTTTCCAAACTTTTCAAGGTTTTCTGTGCAAAAATCTTTGGAAATACCTTTAACTTATTCATCAGAAATGTGACACTTTATTATTCTTCCATTCCCCACCGTGTGCAGGCTGCTGGGTTGGACACCCTTACCCACCTGTGGTATTGCAATAGGAATGGCTGGCTCTTGTGCCAGCAGGCTTCTGGGAAAGGCCAAGGCTGTAGTGCCCTTTCACCCTTGTAACTTTAAGAACCACTAACGAGATTTTAAGAGCTACTAAGTAGACTTTTCTGTATAATTTGAAATAAGTACCAAGAGGGTAGGATTTGTACATTTGCTGACATGTTTGACAGTCATCTACATCTGCGTTTCACTCTGCATCACTTCTAGCTTATGCAAACTCAGTCATTTTCAAGTTCCATGTACACTGTGCTGTGTCTGTGTCAAAGAATAGTTTATGCAAGTGGATGAACTGTGTTCACGTCTGATTTCTAAGTGTGAATAATGAATTCTAGTTCAGTGTCTTTTTTTCATTATCTTTTTTAGTTTAGCTTCTTGTTTTGTTTCAGAATAATAATTACTCATAAAAGTTCAACAAAACTGCACTTACTTATTTGAAACAGTACTCTGGTGTCCTGATTGTTTTTAACAGTATGCAATAAATCTGGTAAAACAGAAGTGCAGTGTTTATGTATTTAAGAAGAAAAAAGTGTAATTTCTGCCTGCTGTCATGATAAACTAAGGAATTTGCTAGCATTGTAGCCAGCTTTATTTTTCTGTAGTACTTGTTAATGAATTTCAAGATGCAGGTCCCATCACCCATTTGCAATGTGTCTGAGTTAATTACCTGGTAATATAGGTCTCCTAATGCAAAATATCTAGAGACTGTTAGATCTGGAATTTTTATTTTCTTCGAATATCCCATCTGTCATCATGAACAATAAGCATTTATCTTTACCTTTAGATAACAAGGCAAGCTACATTTTTGTCTTGGCTCTTCTTCACGATGGAAACGCCCTGTATGCGGGAGAGAGATTTTAACCATGAATCAGAAAATGTATAGTAGGTGTAAGACATGAAATAAAATCGATACATTTTTCTGAGGCATGTCACTAGTTAAGTGACAAAAAATATTCTGATAGTCACTGAAAAAGAAAAGGCAAAGGTACATTTGAACCTGTCAGTTCTACACATTCCTGTTATCCCTTTAGGGGATATCATACAACTTGACACCAACATTTAAGCTTTGAAAATTATGAGCTCATCTATTTCAAATGGGATGTCACATGTTCCCAAGCCTTTGCCATTACTTATAATGGAAGACAGGATGATCACTTTTGTCACATATTGATAGTGAATAAGATCTTTTTTCTTTTCTTTTTTTCTTGTTTCAGAATGAAGAACAAATTTTGGTATTTTGAATTTGGCACTTCGGAAACTTTCTCAGCCACCTGTAAGAAGCTGCATGAATCTGTAGAAATAGAAGTAAGAAACTAATTGTTGCCTTTATCCTTGAAATGTCACTAGTCTAGCTGAAATGCAGGGAGCAAGGGTGCAAAGTGCCTGAATCCAACAAGGCAAAGCAGTGCACATCCTTTCGATCCTCTATTCCAAAATATTATTTTTATCATGTCTATTTGTAGTGTAGCCCTGCACACTAGAATAAAGTTCAGTTTGATGATTAGTGAAGTCTTAATACAGTAGACAAGGTCAAGAGGTGAAGTGTAACATTAGAAATCAATAGTGAGAGTGGCTAGGTCAGATGGAAAAATGAAAGACTGTTGGAGGGAGTGAGAGCTGCTGCAGCATTAAAATTAAAAAAAAAAAAAATCTTATTATTTCTAGGTCCTAAGTTTTTATAACCTTTAAAACTCAATTCCCTAAAATTGTACTTACTTTCCTGAATAAAGGTTAAAGAATATATATATATTTTGGATTCATTCCCCTTCATTAAATAACTTTTCTCTCTGCACAAGGGGTCATGTTTCCATTATACATTGAACATTAACTGAAAAGACACAGGATAGTTACAGACAAAATAGGAATTTAAAATAATGTGCCACTGCTACTTTGATGGCTGATAGAATAAGTGGCTAAGTTACATAAACTGTTTGGGGGGATGATGTTTAAAAATGAGTAAACTAAAAATGTTCACTGAGTGAAAGTGCAAACCTGAGAATTTAAGTTAAATAATGAAATAATTTCTCAAGAGGATTATGGCGCTTTTCCTTTCTAATAGTAATGAGAAACTGCTTATGTCAATGCAGTATTTATATAGTAGCATGAGACACTTGGAGAGGTATGGTGAGAGCTGTCAGAGTTTGGTCAAAGCCTGTCTGAATAATCTGAAGGGGCCATGGATCTGGTAGTAGAACAGCAGCAAAGAAAACTGAGACTGAAACAGTAAGATCTGTGGTGCCAGACTTTCCTATTATGCTGTTATGTCTTCTTCAAGTGGAAACATGCTCCACAGGGGTTAGATTAAAAAATTAAAATCCCCAATAATCAACCAAACAAAATCCCCAGAAAAAAAAAAATAACAAACCAAACCAAAAAAACCTTGCTTCCCAAAACAGTACTTCGCACATGTGGATTTAAGTACATGTAGGCACCAAAAATATTTTGTTACTTATTGGAATAACCACTTACCTTGTTTGATGTGATTCAGATATGCTGCAAGTTAAATGCACCTTTTGATTAAATACGAATTGAAGAGCAGGCTTTCCCAAGAAAATATTTCTATCCAGCAAAAGTCTTACATAGCCCAGTACTTATTAAGATGTGATCTTAAACCATCTAATTGTAACCATTGAAATGTTAACATCCCAAAGCAAAGAAGTTTGCATACACATTTGTGATGCTGCTGATAGCAATTGTGTAATTATTACCAATTCATATCACTAATACTGTTATTGCCATTGAAGTATTACATTGCCAGTATATGAGCCATGTTTGTTTATACTCTATTCAGCTATTCTGGTCATTATCATTAGTCCTACAAATAGGGACAAAAAGCATAGGGGAAATAGTTTCCACAATGTTTACACAAGAAGTGTTAAGAGGTAGTTATTTACAGATTTATTTACAGTGAGTAAATTACATCTAAATGAACAGTACTTGGCAATATGTTTGTATCTAATGTTTCTTGTTTGAACTTTATAAACACTTTGGAGTAGTGCTGTTTTCATCTTATTTTTAACCTGCTGCTCTTTGCTTGGGGATGTTGCTGTAAATGAGAGCTTGATGTATGATACCACATTTCACTTCGAATAAAATGCAGAAAGGCTGCATTTACTCTATAGCCAACTCTTGAATGAGCAAAGCCCATGAAGAGTACGGATCTGTATCTCTGAGCTGGGAGACAGCAATCAAATGTTCTATGGGCAATTATTTATTCACCCTACATTTGATTTCTAACCTAATTAAGCTTGGCTTTCATTGATGTTTCATGTTCTGTATATTTTCTTCTGCATGAGATGCAGAACAAAGTTTGGACACTAAATTCTTACATTATCCAGAATAAGATATGTTTTTATTTCTAAACTGGGATCAGAAAAGTTGAATAGAGAAACATAGGTTCTAAAGGGGGGAAAAATAAGAGAGCAAGATTAAGGATTTTTTTAATGATAATGTGTCAGTAAATAAGGCTTAAGATTTTACAGTTTAGAGCACTTACTTATACTTTCTTTCCACTTCATAAAAACAAAGGAAGATGTGTGAACGTATTTATGAGCGTAAGAATAGATGCAGTGCCAGTGGGGACAGCATAGTCCATACCTGCAATGCTGTAAAACCATTGTGGGACCAGAGTGGCACCTTCTAGACCATCTGCTATTAATAGATGGGGGAAAGAAATTTAAATTATCATGTAGTTTTGCATTATATTGCACCTGGTTACACAGCAAAGCCTTAATCTCAGCTGTTTTCAGGCATGGCCATGTATATTCTTAAGGTGATCTGAAAATAATTGATAAGTCAAAGCAGTGTAAAAGACAATGCCCAAAAATGGGCTGAGACCAGGAAAGAAGGCAAAAAAGAAATAGAAGCACGAGTGTTTATTGTTAATCTAGGTAGGCATGCTCCACATTTTAAAAGCGTGCTTATATTTTTAGCAGCATTGTTGCATTACTTGAAATAAAAAAAAAAAAGGAAAAGAAAAGAAGCAGAACACATCTGTGTTTTGTTGTTGTAGCATATGAATGTGTTAGGACAACACAGAGCTACCTGTAGCGCAAACTTCTTGTCTGTGTATGAACAAAAGAAATCCTCCTTTACTAATTCAGAAAGTTCCTTGTCACTGTGGGATTCTGAGGCCTAGTCAAATAATTGTCTTAGTGTACTACCTGCTGTGTTCAATATTGAGTGAAAATGGAAGCCAGACCCTGCTCCATCCTATTTCACAATTCTTCTTTTATTTAAATAATTCCAGTCAGTTTGGGGGACGCCAGACCTTTATAAATTAACAGCAGGGAAATACCAAAGGTGTCAGATTGCATATTTATCATCTTTTTCGTGTAATACTTAAATATGTATTAAGAAGTGACTGACATAAATTAGGCAGATTTCAGAAGCCACAGGCCGTGGCTTGTAGAGGACCCCCTTCTGCTTGACATTTCATCCTTGTCAAAGATCAAATTATTTTAATTTAGGCTGCAAATTATAAGAAATGAAGACTTCTTTGTGGGAATTCCCTGTGGTAATCTGACTTTTGTTGTTACTGCTGCTTGTCAGTGTGCAAAAGATATAATATGCATGCAAATAAGGTTAAAAAATATGTACTATCTAATTATCCAGCCAGTACATTCCACTTGAAGACAGTGGGAGGCCTGACACACAGTATGTGTTTGATTCATTGAGGCCTGCAGGGTATTTACACAAGATTACTTTTAATTATGAAATTAATATCTGTTTATCTAGAATGTATAGCAGTAAGTGAGCATACACATGAGCAGAATTTTTAATAAAATAAATAATCTTAATATTTAATACATATAAATGAAGAGGGGACTAAGAATTTGCTTCCAAAATAATACTGAATCACAGAGTCACAGAATGGTTAGGGTTGGAAAGGACCTTAAGATCATCTAGTTCCAACCCCCCTGCCATGGGCAGGGACACCTCACGCCAAACCATGTCACCCAAGGCTCTGTCCAACCTGGCCTTGAACACTGCCAGGGATGCAGTATTCACAGCTTCTTTGAACAACTTTACTGAAGACCCATGCCTTTTTTCTTGTAAGAAATGAGTTATTAAAAAGTTACACTTTCAAGTAGAGTCGTTGCCACAACTGCCAACTCACTTTCGGATATGTCTTTTCACTTTAAAGGGTTTCCTATATGAATATAATCCACGGACTTAACATTTAATTCTTGAAGAGCAAATTCGAGATGGAAATCTAATGCTGAAATTGTTCTTTCTCCAGATTTACACTCTTAGAAGTATTGAGAAGATGCCGCGTATGCATTATAATACAGTTCTGTTTTGTAATCTCAGAAAGTTTCAGGGTAAATGAATAATTATGCGCAGTTATTTTTGAGTTGTACTTTGCTTTTCTTCTTCTAACATGCAATGGAGTTTTAGACAGAAAGGAAAAAGTGCCAGTGACCCACAGAGCAGTAAGCTGCAAGATGTCAGTGGACTATTACTGAAGCATGGTTAATTATTTTTCCAGTTTTCTTCCTGATTATTGTGTATTGGAATTACAAAATAAGACCCTTAATCAGTTTTAAATGCATGACTGGTTTCCCTACTGACTTGCAGAACATTGCACAAGTAGGATCTAATGTTCTTAAAAATATGCTGCTATACACTGTAAGGTGCATGTGACTTGCCAGTCTATCTATATATTCTATCTATGATGGGAGGAATGAAGCTGATCTACCTCTAGCCAAGATACATCCTAGAAAATTTGCTGGTTCAGTGAACTAATAAGTGGACCTGTATTCTTTGCCTTCCACCTGCAGTTTCAACTGTTGTAATCTGAAGTTTGGTCATTCTGTTTTTATTTATTTTTAATGTAGAGGTTCTGCAGTATTTTCTATACTTCTCCTAATCCTAAAACAGAGTGGATTGGGAGGAGGACTTGATTTAGCTTGAGTAAATTGTAGTCAGCGAAGGCTATCTGTGTCCTATCAAGCTAGATACATCTCATCCAATGTATGTCTGTGTTTGCAAATGTTGTAGGCTTCTGCCGCCTAAGAAGATGATGCAGTTTGTCGTTGAACAATCGAATAAGTTAAGGTCCCTGAGCCATCCTCCTGAAGTGAAAACTATGGTGCCTTTTTAAGATATAATTTGAAGCCAGATTTAGCAAAGGAATGTAGATCTTTAAAATGCTTCTATGCCCAGTTTTGCTACAGAAAGCAGGAAGAATATGCATTAGTGATACAAGATTCTGTACAGTAATAATTCCATCACCGAAGGAACTGTCCCATGGAATGAGATTTCTTCTGTGTGTGCAGTATGTCTTGGAAAGCTTTTAGAGCACTACCTCTTCTTTGGCTCCATATCCTATGTTTTACTTTGGCAACAATGCACATTTCAGAGAACTGCCTGATGGAGGTTCTGCGATAAGAAATTCTGTAGCTATGTCAGCATTTTTTTAATCCAGTTTTACTAATCTTTCTTCCCAGTAGAAGTTACTAGTCAGTCATAGCCCTGTGCTAATGTGCCAGTTGTGCCTTTAGATTGAACTGGTATCTGTGTGTTGTTCTGTGCTCTTAGGCCCTGCTTAGACCTCATCAGTGAAGCTGCATATGCTCTGTATGCAGGGACTTTTATATTTAGTTTTATATGGAAGGGACTCAGGTGTTACAATGACAAGTGTCATTGCAAAATTGTGAGACAGACAATTTAGCTGGAACGCAACAAAAACCCTCCAGTTATTGCTACAAAAATTTTTGTAGTATATTTTTTTTTCTGCTAATAGCTGTAATGAAGCTGCAAATATATTTCGCTTGGGTCAATGAATAGGTATCAGATAACACGACTCTACCAAATGGTGCCACACTTAAGCAATCAAGAGCTGAATTAGAATCATGTTTTCCCTTCTGAATGAGGATTAATTCTTATCTCATACCTCCTTTCCAGATATAAGTATATATCTTAGGTGTAAACATTGAGTGAACCTTTAACAGTGTTAAGAATGATGAACTGCCAAAGAAAAATATCTGATATGCAGAACATTCTGATTTTTCTTTCTTTTTTTTACTTTTTTTTTTCTCCTTGCTAATCAGTGTGATGGGATTCAGCTAGACTTAATCAATATTTCTCTGGAAGGAATTGCCATTCTGAACATTCCAAGCATGCATGGTGGATCGAATCTTTGGGGAGAGACAAAGAAAAGACGTAGCCACCGTCGGACAGAAAAGAAGAGGTCAGATAAAAGAACAACTGTCACAGATGCCAAGGAATTGAAGTTTGTATGCCAAGGTAGGCTTACAGATTACTATAGGCTATCTGGCTCCATACAGTCAACTCAGTTGTATAATTGCTCTTGTATTGTCTCTTGACAAGAGAAAGGATAGACAGTTCTTCCCTATTTCTTTTCTTGTGCATTTAGCTGTTTTGATGGGAAGCACTGGAGCAAGCATAAACAAAGATGTGCTGACAATTGCAGTCTGTATACTTGCTAACTTGCCTCAGATGTTACCTGTTAAGCAGACTAAGCACATCATGTGGCACCATTTGCTACTATGATACTCAGTCTAGAAATACCTGGAGTTTTTGAAGTCAGAAAATGCTTACTGGGCATTTATGATGCTGATTAATGTCAGTGTGCATAAAATTTGCGGATAATCATATGCTGATTCTAACAGACTTTGGCCAGAGGCTGTGGAAAATTACTTTGGATTAGCAAGAACAAGATGCCTATACGTTTTATATTACTATACTGTGATGCTCTGCACAATCCTTGAATGCACAGCCTGTAGCTTGCTTGCATGGGCCTGATCCATGGGCATTCCAAGGGCTTCTATATTTTCCTGGTAATTTGTCACATTTGCTCCATGAATTTTATTATTACTTATAACTCCTGAAGAAATCTACAGTAAATAGCAATCTTATTCTACTTTGTAGGATCTGAATGCTATGCATTGTAACACATCGTTGCATGTCGCAAGTTCTAGTGATTATAAAACATCATTCTGTTCACACCAAGGGATGAACAAACCAAACTTTTTATCCTATGGAAAAGAGTATCTCTTGCTTCAGAGTGTCTTGCTGCTGCTTCTTGTTATTCAGACTGAGTAAAGATTAGGACTTTAACTGTCTGATGTTATTGTGATCCTTTTGCTGGGTTTGAAGATCCAATTTTTACATTTCATCAGCAGTAATTTTTAAGTCACTAGTTATATCGTAGTTATTTAATACGTATTGTTGTTTCAATCCAGCTGACTTATCTGGATGACAAAAGTAGTTTTCTGCGGCTAGAAGGTTGCAGTAGGTATTAGGACTCAAAATTCCTGTGTGTTTTAGCAATTTGACATGTTCTCAGTATCTCAAAGTAACTTAGCAATACACTGTCAGCGTAAGTCTTATCAGTTGCTAAGCTTCTGCATACACTACAATATTTTTATAATGTCCTGATGTTCCAGAGGTGGAGGAAGGCTACTGGATAATGGACTTGCCAAAATTTTTCTTTTTCTGTTGCTTCTGAACATAGGGAGATGGGACATTTCACCCTTTTTATAACAGTGAAGCAAGATGTTATAGCACCTTTAATTATTAAAGTTATGTATGTATTTGATGCATATGTAGCTGATACTAATCTACAGACTATTTTTGCTGTATTGGAAGGGCATTGCTACACTTCATATCCTGGACAGGAGAAAATAAAATAATAATTTGTCCTGGGTTCAGCAGTAGCAGTCATTTTTCCCCTTCTTGGTAGCTGGTGCAGTGCAGTGTTTTGATTTTCGGCCTGGGAACAGAGCTGATAGTAATGTTTTGGTTTGGCCAAGGACTTTGTGAGCCTCATGCTCTGCCAGGGAGGAGGGGAAGCCAGGAGGAAGCAGAGACAGGACACCTGACCCAAACTGACCAAAGAGGTATTCCATACCACAGCACGTCATGCCCAGGATGTAACTGGGAGTTAGCCAGAAGGGCTAACTATTAAAGACTCGAAGATCTTGCATTATCTATTGAAGTGTTCATAATGCTAACATTAAGCACCTTACTTTAGAAAAACTAGTCTCATGACTTAGTTTCTAATCACTTTATATGCACTGTGGATGGAAGTAGCTTCAACCAAAAGGCAATTTCAAAGCAGGGATTGACTTCTCAATATCATCAACTAAACCACCTCTGGGTGTGTGAATAGTATTATTGTTTACATCTACAGAGGCGTTTCAGTGTTCAACAGGAGTATGCTTCTTGGATTTCTGAGTTATCCATGGTTATTGCATTCCAGTTTACAACACTGAGTGTGCAAACTGGATTCCTTTTAAATGGGGGGGAGGTCACATGCTCTGACTGTAATGGGTGTTCGGTCCATGGAACCAGCTTAAAACTACTCAAAGTAAAGCTCAAAAGTTAATGTGGTGTGTACATTTGTGTACATTGGTGAGAACCAACTGATTTGCTCCTATTTTATACTGCAAAGAAATGTCTTTTCATTCTGCTAGCTAAGGTAGGCTCTTAAGGTTAGAGTATGCTTCTTCATATCAGTATTCAAGATTATTGCTGAATAAAGAAATTCAATCAATGTTATGTCTAGGCTTCTCAGATAGTTTTGATAAATCTGTATCTACCCACTGTGGAAATAACTTGACTACCTGTCACTTGTAAAGCACTATGATTCCTTTACCAGCTTTGTACAAGCAAATCCAAGAGCCTGATACTGTTTAGCTGATTGTTTCCTTAGGCACATTTGGATTGTACTTTTTAGTTTAAAGAAAACGTTTTACAAAACACTAATGCCTGGTACAGAAATAGGTATTGATGTATTGAGAACCATGGTAAATACATACCTGCTTGTTTGGTTATCAGTTCCTTTTATTCTAAATAAAGCATCTAATCACTTGACAACTAAACACTGCACTCCCTAGGAGACAGTAATCAAACATTCTCATGTTTTCATATGGAGATATATATATATCAATATATGTATCAGGGGTTTGTGGGGTTTGGTTTGGTTGTGGTTTTTAATCCTTTTATTGGGACTTCTGAGTGGCATGCACATTTAGTTTTAGTCTTTTTCAATTTCAGTGCAACTGTGAGTTTTTTGAACTGTGTATCAGTCTATTCTTCTTGTCTCTCTGCTTTTATGGTTTCTTAACTTGACCATAAATACATGAATTGAAGTTTAATACTCAGAGTGTGAGCCCTTAAAAGGGATACTTGCATGGACTAGCAAAAGCTGTCTCCTCACTCTGGGTAGTTTGTCGCCTCTGAGCATGTTGCATTCTTCTTCTTAGAACAGAACAGGAGGACTTTGCAGACTTTCAAAGAGAAAGAAACTGCTGTGAGATCCTGCTGCTGTCCTCACCCTGCTTTTGTATATATCAGCTAATGTGAACCATGTACATGCAACACGACCATCACTGCATGAAAAATGGTTAAAGTTCTGCCAGATCTTTTTTCTTTCTTGCTTATCTGTATGATTCCGGAAAGGGGTATTCCTCCGAACTTACTCCCCTCTTTTTTTTTTCGTATTTACTCTTGTCACCTGTTGATACAAAAAGACTTGACACAAAAAGACTTGTATTTTCCTTGCCCTTCCCATGCCCTCTGCTAGCCAGACCACAATTTGGACTTTGCTGGCTGCTAGCCAGACCACAATTTGGACTTTAAGTAATCAAATGGACATCTGCTTGGAAAACAATCTGATTATATGTGCATAGTCTAGAAAACAATATATTGAAATGTAGCAATTTAATATGTTCACTATTTAAATACATTCCCTACTGTACATGCACAACTCCCTCATTAGGAGTTGTGCATGTACACTAAAGAGCAAAATCTGTCACTGATAGCATATAGGTATGTGTGTCTGCATATCATATTTCTGTCTAACTAGTAACTGCCTTTGTTATTTTCATATAAAACACATTTGAAAATATATTTGTCTGATCAGCTTATAACTCATTGGAAATGAAACCTAATTCAGCTGTAATGTACTAAATATTATCCTAATCTTTTTAATAGAAAGAAATACAATTATTTTCATTTCGGCTCCTCTGCAGAAGCATAGAGGGTCTTTCGACAAATGTTATTAGGATAAAAAGCAGATCTTTTTTTCCTAACAATTTAATTTTAATTTCTAATTTATTATTACTATTGTACAAAATCAGTGCGTTAGCAAAAAATGTAACTACAGATATATGTTACAATTCGTGAAAATGGATGATATAATTAGCATTTTGACTTCATGTATCTGACACTTGCAATGTTTCCATTTGTTGTTTTATTTTAAAATCTTCTGGTATGTGCATACCTATGACATATCTATCCACAATCAATTTTTTTCTAGTACAGATTTTAGATATGACTGTGAACTATCCTTGAAAATTAGTTGGACCGGATTTTTGTTTGGATATACACAGATATTCATAAATGCCAAAAATCAGTGCTTTAAAAAGATGAACATACTGCATAGAAACTAAATTATGAGTTGAGAAACATAAATGTAAATAACTGAGCTACTTGTTGTTTGGAAATTACATCCAAAACAGAAGTTAAATCATGACAACATATCTTACATGAAATATATGTACCACTTATGTTAAGTGTTAAACAGCAAAATTTTCTTCCACGCAGAGTTACTAAATGAAATTTTCAAACCTTTTGTGACAAAAAGGAATTTATTTTTTTTTTCAAATCTCTGTAGTAACCTTCTTGCTCAGTGGAGTAGGCTTCCTTTGTCATGGATGTTGTTATGCTTTGGTTCACTGAAGTTCAGTTAAAGGACTGTCCTGAACTGGAATCTCTTAAAATTTAAAGTCTCTTGAGACTTTATTGCAAATATATATGTAGCTTGTTTTTACATGAGTAGTCCCAGTCTCCTCAATGGACTCCTTCCTGAAGACAGTATCTATGAACTATTAATGGGTGAAACCTTCAGACTATAAATATTTCAGCACAATACTTTCTTTATTTTAGACGTCATGAGGCACAGTGATACTTTACTTACAAAGTTGGTCTGCACAGCTTGTTAAGAGCTGCAGTGAGGTACTCCTCAGTAACATACCAGACTACTAGACTAATTCAAAACAATGTGCATTCATGTCACAGCACCTAGGCATGAACTAAACTTACAAATATGATTCAGTAACTCCATGTGGAAATCTCTGTTAATAACTGCATTATGATTTTCTGAATGGAAATGCAGAAGATTTGGGAATGTGTATATGAACAGTTCACTACAGTTAAAAGCAGGGGACATGCAAAGACTGTGAAAACCTTAAGACACTTCAAAATATCTATAAGTAGTA